GTGGAAGGCATTGCTGTGGTCAGAGCATGAGAGAGCAGAGTTATGTGCAGAGTAGGGGTGGTTCCTTGTGGGGAGAAGCCCCGGGGGCAGCCAGGGCAAGGGACATTCAGTGTGGACAGGGGTCTGGAGGCCCATAAATCTAAGCAGTTCAAGTTAGGGTATTGGATGGGCAATTCAGATAGTCTTTTCTTATTCTATCTCAAGTTAGAAATGACCTAAATTAATGAGGCTTTACATTTAATCAAATTGTTCCCTGAAGACATTCTCTTACATAAAATTGAATTTAATATGAAAGAGAAAATAGTGCACTAAACAAAGGCATGTATTTATAATCTGTGCCTTATTTTTATCGCAGAGTGGTGTTGCTTGAAGGTTAAATGTGCGTGTGTGCGGGGGGTGGGGGGGTATAGTGAGCACTACATTGCTTTGTGGTCTGACCTTCCAGCTGCAAGCTGGTTGTGGAGCAACGGGGGAAATGTTGTGAAGATTCTGTATAGCAAAAGGTCACCATGACCAAGACATTCTGTTTCTCCTTCCCAATCCAAATACTTGAAATACATACCCTGGAACAAAAATTCCCAGTAAATTTTGGGTTGGTGAGCATAGCACGATAATTGCACACAGGAGGATTTGTCGTTTTATTCATTATACAAGCAGCAAAGGGCTGAATGGGAGGTAAGGAGACTCGGCCTCCCGCCACTGATCGCGCCATCATCATCGCCTGCTCTGTGACTGAATAATTGTGGAAAGGGTGACACGTGCATTCAGCACCTTACAATATAAAAGTCACCCTCAGCATTTTTTTCCTCAACTGTTATTAAATTGTCCATCATTTTCATAGCTCTGTAATTTGAGTACAGCTTCACACCTCCATGTGTGCACACGCTCCATTCACCGCCACCAAAGCTCAGGTGCCGATGCGTACTTCTTCCTTCCCTGAGTGCTTCTCCCTTGACACCTCTTCCCTCCGGTAACCTCTGGTATATTTTTGACAGAATCTAAGTGCTATTTTTTGCGATGCTTTGCCAGTTTGTTTTCTTTGGTTATTTTTATTTCACAAGAGAACGAAACCATCCCTAACTGGCTTTCACTTTCTGACTGGTTTCATGTAGCATAATTCCCTCAAGCTCCATCCATGCGTCCCCAAAAGGCACTATCTCATCTTTTTTTCATAACTGAGTAATATTCCATTGAGCGTATAGTCCACAATTTGTTGTTACTTCTGAATTTGTCTGATGCACTTTCATTATTCTTATTTTTTACTTTTTTAAAGTTTATTGAGATTATAATTCACATAGCATACAGTGACCCATTTAAAGTGCACAATTCAGGGCCTCCCTGGTGGCACAAGGAGTTAAGCATCAGCACTATGAAGTTATCTGCAGCCACTGCAGCACAAGTTCAATCCCCAGCCCGGGAGGTGACCCACATGACGCAGCAGACCTCTCCTGTCTCACTTGCTGCTCCCTTCAGCAGTGTATTTCAGTCAGTCTGCCTGTTCTGCTCCCCACTCTGTCTCTGAGGAATCCTCTCACCCCCCCTAATCTCTGGCCTACATCCCAGCTCTTGTATGCATAAATAAATAAATCTTTAAAAAAAATAAAGTGCACAATTTGCTGTCTTTTAGTATATTCACAGATGTATGTAATCTTCATGACATCAATTCTAGAACATTTTCATTACCCCCAAAAGAAATTTCATATCTCCTAGCTGTCAGCCCCCACTCCCCTCCTTTCCCCAACAATATTCTTTCTGTCACAGATTTGCCTGCTCCAGACATTTCACGTAAAAGGAATCATAGTAGACATGTCTGCCTGTTTTCACTTATCATGTTTTCTAAAATCATCTATGTTGTAGCATCAGAATTTCATTTATTTTCATTGCCAAATAATATTCCACCATGAAGAGAGACCAATTTTATTTTTTATATTTAATTTTCTATTGAGGTAGCATTGGCTTCCAGCACTGTGTGTCATTCAGAGGCATATGGCCACCCCCCACAGACGCTTGTGCCCAGCACATCCCCCCACGGCCCCCATGCCCTCTACCATATTCCATGCGCCCGTCTCACTTTGCTTCCCCCTCCCTCTCTCCCCAGCTTGTAGCCTCAATTCCACAGTCAGAGCTCTAGGATTTATTATTGGTTTGGTTTGGTCTGACCCTTTGTTTGTTTCTCTATATTCCACACATAAGTGAAACCATCTGGTATTAGTCTTTCTCCTTCAGACTTATTTCACTGCAGTATCCCCTCATTGGGTAGAGGGCACTAAATGCAGGCTGCCAGGCAAAGACCACTGACCCCAGCATAATTTGTGGGACAATCCCCCATCTCTGGTGATGAAGTTCTGAAATTTTCAGCGAGCAATATTTTTATTTTATTATTTTATTTTTAGTAGTGCTTAAGAAGAGGACAGTCCAAACTTCCTTAGTACGCAATGTTGTAGACGAAGTCACCCTCAGTTTCTAATCCTCACAGCAGGACACACAAGTTGACCTGGCAGATATAATTGTCCCATTTGTCAGATGAGAAACTGAAGCGGAATCTAGAAGTGACATAGCAAAAATCAGTTCTGTGTGGAAGTGCCAGGTTGGCCACAGCCTCCTGACCCATACCCAGCACGCTTGGCCCTGGACGATTGTCAGTGACATCATCCCATCCCTGCCCCTGTTTATGAACTCATTTCTGCCTCCCCCAACAACAACTCCAACATGATAAGTTTCTGGAAGGACCATGGTAGGGTCAAATATCTGCCTGCCCACTTGCTTTTCACTGCACAGGCTAAGTCATGCACAAAATTATAAGTTGGAAAAAATATTTTCTGGGCCATTTCAGTGTGACTTACCCCTCATAGACATGAATCTCATCAGACAGATGCCCCCTTTAACACAGTCAGCCCACCGAGGCCCACCCTTTTCTAGAAAGGTCATAAGTCTTCCCACAACAACTCCCAAGCTGGCCTTTAGCATCTGGTTCGGTCTGGGAATGACAGGTCACTTCTCCCCATTGTGTGCCAGGCCGTCCTCACTGGCCAGTCAGGCCTTTCTGTCTCAGCAAATGTGACCTCCTCAGACATCGTTCGTTACACATTGACCCATGAAATGAAGTCTATTTTTCTGTTTAAGCATTAAGTATTTTTTTAATACTTCACACCATCCTTGCTTCCAGAAAGTCTCCAATAAGAGATATAATACAACAAAACCATCAAAACAAGGATCAAAGCTCAAGAGTGGGGTAAGGGTTGGGGGAGGTATGGACAGGAGCCTTGACCAAGAAACTAAATTAGGAGCAAAAAACTACAAAGAAGCAAAAAAAGGAGGAAAGGAGCAAAAAACTTAGCTCTCAGCTTCATCACCAACCATGTTAACAAGAAAAAGAGATTACAAAGCCAGTTTTTTGTTTGTGGTTTTTGTTTTTGTTCTTGTTTTCAGAAAAAGCAATCTTTTTTTCTGAACTTGAAATATAAGAAAAAATTCCAATGTGGAGGGGAGTTTTTAATTCTTCATTTTTTGACTTTTATTGAAGCAGCATTGCATATAACATGGATTTTTTTAAGATTTATTTATTTATGCATACAAGAGCTAGAGTATAGCCCAGAGGTGAGGGGGGTGAGATGATTCACCAGAGACAGAGTGGGGAGCAGAACAGGCAGACTGATGAAATACACTGCTGAGGGGAGCAGCAGGCGAGTCAGGACAGGTCTGCTGCGCCATGTGGTCATCTCCTTGGCTGGGGATCGAACTTGTGCTGCAGTAGTTGCCAATAACTTCATAGTGCTGACATTTAACCCCTTGCACCACCAGGGAGGCCCCAACATGGGTTTTTTAATACGGCAATCTAAGCAGCTTCTGGGCATTGTCTTCACCCACCCTTGGCCAGTAAAGGGGCTACCCGCATGGTGCAGCAGACCTCTCCTGACTCGCCCACTGCTCCCCTCAGCAGTGCATTTCAGCAGATCTGCCTGTTCTGTTCCCCACTCTGTCTCTGGTGAATCTTCTCACCCCCTCCACACCTCTGGCCTGTACCCCAGCTCTTGTATAAATAAATAAATAAATCTTTTAAAAAATGCAGATTGCTGTCCAGTGTGGTAAGCATACTGGTAATTAACTCTGAATCCTATATATACACATATATTGTTATAGTAACATTGGTTTACAACATTGTTTATACTTTAGAGGTATACAATCTCCCCCTTCTGGTGTTGTTACCACACTATAGCCTCCACCAAAATGCCCATAAGAGAGAATATCTCATCACCCAAAGCAAAGAAAGTCAAGGAAAAGATGCACACCTGGGATTACGTCAAACTGAAAAGCTTCTATACTGCAAAAGAGACATCAACCAAATACCTGTACCCCTATGTTTATCGCAGCACTATTTACAATAGGTAAAACCTGCCAACAACCCAAATGCCCAAAAATAGATGACTGGATCAAGAAGATGTGACATATATACACAATGGAATATTATTCAGCAATCAAAAAAGATAAACTCATGCAATTTGCAGTAACATGAATGGAACTAGAAAGAATTATGCTCAGCAAAGTAAGTCAGAAGGAAAAAGAAAAATATCAGATGGTTTCACTTATAGGAGGAACACAGGGGAACAAAATAAGACATCAGGGGAAAAAATAATAATGATACAAAACACAACAAACCAAAAACAAACAGACAACTATAAATCAGAGACATCCTGCAGGGGAGGAGGCGGGAGAGGGATCAGAGGGAGGGAGGGAGGAGCACAGGGGCCTGAGGTGATGGTGCACGGGTGCCTTGGGAAAGGAAACTCTATGGGTCTACACCTGAGGGAGTGGGGAGGAAGCAAATATTGTTTAGAAATGAACAATGATGTAAAAAATATATTTTAAAAATTAAAAAAAAAAAAAACAGTGAAAGAGCCACACCACATATGCCCCACCCTCAGCTGCCCAGCACAGGCTGGAACTGCCAGGGTTCAACCTCAGAGAGGCAATCATGTGTCTGTCTTCTCCCCATCTCACAGGTTTGGAATAAATTGCCTCATCCAGTTTGAAGACTTTGCCAACGCCAATGCCTTCCGCCTGCTCAACAAATACCGCAACAAGTACTGCATGTTCAATGATGACATCCAAGGTAGGTGTCCACCCCACTGATAGCGCCTCCAAGGACTAACACATTCTCACAATGCTCACCTGGATGCCAAAGCAAGCACCTCTTTGCAGATTAGCTGCCTGTCACTGTGGAAGACAGAACATTAAACTTGGATTCACTCCCAATGACTAATTCTTAGCTCTATGACCTTGGATAAGGTCCTTGATTTCTCTAGCTTCAATTTCCTCATTTATAAACTGGAGATCATTACTGCTTCAGAAGAAAATAAGAATTGTAATTGAATATATGAAAGAAATTTTAAACAATGCTAGTTGAACTAGGACAGACCACATCTCTGAGCCAGTTTCATCATCTCTTCAATGGGAATGATAGTGATGCCTTGCAAGATTATTGTAAAAATTTTAAGTGCTACTGTATGGAAAGTACTGGCACATAAAACTCATCAAACCAAAGCATCAATCACCATAAAAATGGCCTTCCCCAGACACAACAACTTGCTCTTGGATTTTCCAGACACTGGAGGGATTCCAGTCAGAGAATTAGGATAATTCTTTTTCTTAATTTGGTTTGAATGTGTGCTGCTCAGGATGATAACTCTGAAAGATACTGCCACCAGGACCCCAGTATTCTCCAAGAACCAATGACAAGCATATTTTAGTACATGGTCAACCTGGTTACCTGTTCTATGGGCCTGAAATAGCTGAAGGTACTTGCTTCTTCTTGTGAAGATGCTAAGATTGGAACTAGAAAGGAAGAGGTGGTCCCTCAGGGATTATCCCACTGGATCCAGGCGTCCTCAGTAAGAAACACTGTAAGCTAGTCAGCATTTCATAAACAACAAGAGAAACATTGATGACAATAGGTCGTTATTTAACAAATGTAGTTTGACAAACAAAAATTTTAAAAACCAAGGGTCATGCCAGGTAAAAAGAAGTTGGCATGGAGCAACCTTGGGAGTAAAAGATCAGCCAATCCTTCATTTTTCAGATGAGACCTAAAGAGTTCACCACATGTCATCAAGTGAGTTAGGAACAGACCTACATGGAGTCAGCTCAAGTAGTAACAGCTAAGATTTAGAGTTAGAGTATTTAACATATATTGGGCTTCTCTAAACACTTTCTATATTCACTCCTACAAGATATTACCATCTCTGTCTTATTAAAGTTGAGGCTCAGAAAGAGTAACTTCCATGGCCAGCAAGTATAGAGTTGAACCCCAGCACCAGGACTCCAAATTCCAAATTCTTAATCGCTCTCCAGACTACTCACAGTTCTTGTACTTATATTACAAAACCAAATGCCTCCTCCCTCCTGTGGACCATGTTAAGAGCTAAAGAAATGTGATAAATGGGTTGCATTAATCATAACTTTTTAAGAAACAGGATACCATAATCAGCATATTATTAGATAATTAAAATCAAACATACAGAGGGGGAGACTCAGAAGGGAGAAGCTAGGGTATGGAAACCCCCACCCTGTCACCACTCTGTCCACCCCTCCCCCTGGCCCTGATACCCAGCAGGCAGGAGTGTCCCTGACCCTGGAGGAAACACCTGCCTGGGAGGCCCTGACCGCCCCCTCCCCTGCTGTGCTGCCAACATGAGTCAGCAGCAGGAAGGCATCCTCCTGGGCCCGCTGGGAGGCAAGGCCAAGGGTGGAATTGGAAAAAGTCTGTGTGGGCAGCACACCTGGTGGCAGCAGACTCCATCTGTGTAGACACACACACACAGCCACATGTGTACATCCACATAAATGTGGTGGAGACACAGCTGGATCTGCCACCCACCCACCCCTGTCACCCCCCACTCCTGCCTCTAAGAGGAAGCTCTGGCTCTGACCCCTCTTCGTGAGAAATTTCACACTCACTGGGAGTGTAAGGCTCAGGGCTGTATCTGTGCCCGCCTCACCCTCCACTAATTTCACTGCCTTCTGATGTTCCCTTACTTTTTCTCCCATGCCTCCCATGGGCAGGTGTAGCTGCAGGCCAAAGATCTGCTCCTGGGAAGGCTTTCCCCATCATTATCCCCCTAGTGACTCCTACTTCTCTTTCAAAACTCAGTTCAAGGGCTCCTGTACCTGGGAAGCTCCTCACTGGGCCCCAGTCTAATTTGGGTCACCCCCTCCCCACGCCCCGCCAGGTGACACACAGTTCTGAATGCTCACACGGAGCTATCTACCAGCAGGAGATGATAAACTTTCAGAAGCAGGGACCATGTCCATGTATTCTTGTTCCCAGTTTCCTGCACAGTACCTAGCACAATGCTTGAAGAGGCAATGACACAGGCAATGACACTCTCCTCAGCACCCACCCTTCACAGGGATGCTGCCCGCACAGCCTCTCTCTCATGCCTGCGGCCACATAGAAACACTCATAGAAATGCACCCTATGTGAGCTCATACTCAGAGGTACAAACATCTTCACATGCATACACCCTCATATTTGCACACACATTTTTTTCAATTAAATAATTAATTGGCTTTTATGTCCTGCTTATGGCCATTTCTGGTAGAGTTTGCCTCACTCACAGGCTAAGCCAGATAGAATAGTGCCCCAGATTCCATAGCAGACAGAAGAGGAATTTTCCATTCTTTCTAGAATGGAATCTAGACTCTAGAATGCACAAGGAGAGTGGGTAAACAGCTCCAGAGTGGCAGGAGCCCTACAATATCAGGTCTGATCGGGATGTCTGCCCCCTGAGTTGTGACCATATAACTCCAACAGTAAAGTCGTGATTGTGGAACTGTCCTGTGTGACCTTCAAGGAAAGAATCATGCCCAGCTGCTGAGCAGGTGCTGCTCGTCATGGTGCAGGACAGCTCTGAGGGGACATTTCAGTTCCAGAGCTTCTCAGGGTTTGACTGAGGCTTTGGGGCAGAATGACAGCCTGGCTTCTCCCCCTACCATCCCATAATGGCTCCTTCTGCCCTCGCACAGTGGTGGATCCCAAGGGCACATCTTGTTGGCATCCTGAACACTCCCTGTTTCTCGGACTCTGCTTCCCAAGGAGCCCAGGCTGTGGCAAATGTTAACATTTTCCATGCGCACAGAACTTTAGGTCTGAAATGTGTCTTTCATCCACACTATCTCAAAGCTCCCTAGAAAATTGCCCCCTCCCATATTGCAGGGAGGGCAGACCTTGTTGGCCCCCATCACTGATGAGGACACTGAAGTTCAAGGGTGAAGTTTTGCTCAAGGTCACACTGGGCGCAAACCTGGGGCTAGCTTCTGACTTTGAAGTCTCCACTTTCCATAGCAGCCGGCTGCCCAGTGTCCTGTGAGGGAGGCAGTGCAGCATCTTCTTCCTTGGACTCAGTTCCAGACCTGGGTCAGCGTGGGTGTCACTGCCCCCCATCTCACCCAAACCCTCCTCTCGCCTCCGCAGTGGGCAGACCCAAGGAGGAGGTCCGGGGAGGGAAAGGCTGCTCCCAGCCACCGGCTAGTCAGCGATGGATCCTCCGGGACCAGCAGTCTCTGGCACGTGGTCTGGTCTCATTGCCAGGCGGGCCACTGAAAGACTGGCGAGGACCCCCAGGAGTGCTGGGTCAATGTGCAAGATGAAGCTCATGCCTGAGCTGGGCCTCTTTACTTCCAAATACAAAGTTAAGAGGAATAAAACTACACAGTTGTGTTCAAGAATAGAAAAGGAACTTGGAGGGGTTGGGAGAGACGAGGGAGGGAGCAATCACAGCGGTAAACGGAAGCCAACGCCGAGCCCCGTGTGGTTGCCAGGGCGGCCGGCGCAGCCCGCAGGGCCCAGGGCCAGCCTGCCGGAACCGCACACAGTGGGGCTGCATGAGAACGTGACTGAACACCAGCCCAGCCTCACAGCCTCAGGGGAACTGGGCAAAGATGCGACTCTAAGCTTCTGGCCCACCAGACTGACCCCCTGAGTGAATGCCTGCCAGTGCTGAGCAGGAGCTGCGGGCCTGCCACGCCAGGCGCCTGGGACACTGGCCTCACAGGGCCACATGGATGAGGACTCGGGAGCCCTGGCCTTGAAGGATAAGGCACTCCCCAGGGCTGCTGTGGATTCCTGTGCCCCGGCCAAGCTCCCACGCACAGGAAGAGGGAAGCCCCGGCCTGGGCCTCAAGGGCAAGGCCCTTGCCCTGACTCATCTCGTCGCTGACAGCGCCGCGAGAACTTTGGGAAAGGCAGGCTCAGGTGACTGTTGTCTCAGCTGGAACCAGGCACACATCTCTGCTCCCAGGGGAGAGGAGGGGAGGCCAGAAGGGGATGGTCATGCTGGAGGACGGGGCAGCGGTGTCCTTTCAAAGGAGCAAAGCCAGGACAGGGTTGGCCGAGCGACCGCAGGCCCAGCGCTCCCCTGGCTGTGACGGGAGGCCCAGCTGGCTCTCACCTCCAGAGCATCTCCCAACCGGGCCCGCCTTCCCTGGACCTCCACTTCCCACCCTCACACCACCCCACCCCGATCCCGCCGCATCCCAGGGGCCACGTGGCCCATCAGGGCACCAAGCGATCTACCAGGCCATGGGCACCCCCATGCTCATGCACATTTTGATGGTGACCCATGGTGCTCACAGTCATGGGACTGAGACAGACCTAGGTCTGAATCTTCACTTTTCTGCTCCGTGGCTTTGGCCACATGCCTTGAGCCCTCCTAGCCTTCCTGCCCATCCCTGTGCAATGGGCGTGACAGTGTTACAGCTGTGGCTGGTGACCTGCCAGTGCCACCAGAGCCACCAGGCTTTGCCATGACCAGCCTCTGTGCCAGCTGGCTGGAGCCCACACCAGCTCATGGAGGAGTCGCCCTGTGGTGGCCCCTAGTCACTGGAGGGACACACAGTGAGACAGCACATAGCAGCGCTCAGTTCCAGAACCTGGTGCTGATCCCCTGACGCTTACTGGGCGCCCAGCACACGGGTATGGGAGATGTGGGTGGGAGCGAGGCTGAGGCCCACAGCAGAGGGTTGGCTAGATGTGGAGAGAGGGACAGTGTGAGTGAACAACTGGGGGAGACAGAGGACGGAGGCCAGGCCCTGCACCACCCTCATTCCCTCTCC